GAACTTCTAATGGAAGTGATTTTCCAGGTCATATTGTTTTTGATATGGGGCTTCACTTGTTGCAAGGTCAGTATTGATACAATTAGCTAGGATGCCATCATTGGTGTGGATTCTAGTGAGAATTTGTTTTGGAAATTCTTGATTGTCTTTTAAAGATTTTAATATAGGTTTTTTCTTTTCTTTTTTTTTTTTGGGAAATAGATTGGATGGGACTCGGTCATGAGAATGAGCGCAGACCTGCGAGACTTATTCTTGTATGAGGCTTTCTTATATTATAACCCTCTCCTTCTCGTGGTTAGTTAACTTCTCCTCAGTTTGACTACAGATTCTTCTTTGATATCAGATGTTTGTCGAATCTTACTTCATGGTAGTGCAATTGTAGACAATGATGGTTTGGCTATGGGGAGTGTGTTTGTGGGTCTTCTCACAGAGTAGTGTTAATTACGCCAAAATATTTGATCTGGATCAAAACCATCTCACCCACAGAGAAATATGGAAGGTACTCATACTAATCGCTTCTCATGTTATTTGGATCTTTACACTGCATATACTTTATTGAGCATCTGGTCCTCAGATTATGGTGCAACCTGACAAATAAAATGCAATGTTCCTTTTCTAATATCCAGTTTCTATTTTGCTATATGCAGTGTAGCATATGGATGACAATTATAGTCCCAACTAGCATGACAGCATACCTTTATCTCTACTCCCACGGGGAAGTGTCATTGGCAGCATCACAACCAGTGTAATATCTGCCCTGCTTTCTGGCATTATCTCATCTCTGTATCCCTTCAATTTTAAGTGCATATATGCAAGACATTAGTCTTTTGTTTTGTTTCAACCGTTAGGTTTGGTGACTATAGCTTTAGTGCTTATTATTGTGTGTTAATTTTTTGCAGTAAATATGAGATGCCAATAATGATTTGGTGCATATATGTATGAATACATATGTTTCTGTGACTGTTTGTAGTGTTCTCTTGTAGTCCTTTAGAATAGATTATATGGACTTATTATTATGCAATGGATTATTTGACATATATTGATGGTTCTGAACTTTTTAAATACAAATCACAGGTGATCCTGTATGTTGCTGTTGCTTTGGTTTTGGTATTCCCCTTTGATATTTTCTTTTTGTCATCTCGTTACTTCTTGCTAAGAACACTCTGGCGAATTGCCCTCCCGCTGCAGGCAAGTTTCTAGTGTAGCTTCCTTTTCCTTTTTACTTGAGCTAGCAAGCTGCATTTGCAGACCAGCTTTTCTTCATATTGGATGTGATTTTTTGAAGTTGGGTTCTCTTTAATCTCTTTGTAATTTTCATTTTAAGTAGCAATTACTTGAGTTTCTCTGTGGCTGACATGCATTCACATTTTTTACTTGTTTAATACTTGTATAACAGCCAATTTCATTTCCTGACTTCTTCTTGGCTGACATTCTAACCTCCATGGCCAAGGTATGAACCTAGAACCTTATTTCATCTTCTTAAGCAAGCTATTAGTTTCATTCTCTTAGTTATTAGATTGTACCAATTAAAGGAACAATCCAATGAAATGTTTTAGCATACTCTTGTGGAGAAGGTTTTAGTTTCCTGCTGTCAGATGCAAATAGATTGCATGTCATAGTACCTGCTTTCTTGATTTCTCATGCATTCTTATCCTAATGGACCTACACTAAAGTTATGGTATTAGAATTTGGTTTCATAAGAGGAGTTGGATTTATTTTTCTAATTGTTTGTAATTGTTTCTTGTGTGAAGGTATTTTCAGATTTGGAGCGTTCAGTCTGTCGAATGGTTCATCGCCAGGTAATTATAATACTGAAGACTTTTTAAGTAGGTTATTTATAAAAGGCTAAAAGTGCTCAAAATCTTAAATTTAGTGCCTTGATAGGAATTTTTTTTTTCATCTCAAATTGACTAGATTTAAGACCTTCAAACCCCTTCTTAACAGCCTAGCACTTTCAATATCTGTAAGTTATGTCACCTAGGTAAGTTTTTGATCCTGTGATTCTGTGAAAAATCAGTCAAAAATTTTGATTCTTTTCGAACATGGAGGGAAGGCAACATAACACTAAAGACCCGATGAGCATGTGAATCCTTTACTCTTGCTTCTGGTTTTCAGGGGAGTTAAAACTAATTGAACTTAAGTCTTAATGTTGTGTCTAATAATGCCTTAGAATAGAGCTGTTAAATTGCTTGGATGAGGTCTTCTAATTAATCAATGCTCGTGGTTATCTGCTAACTGTTTTGTCTATCATTTAGTGATGATGTAAAGAAGCAAAGAGCAATATACTGTGTCTTTCTTATGATACTAAATATGATTATGCTTAGATTCGGCTGTGGTCAATTCATACCATAACTTTGAACTGCCGAAGCTTTTCGTATTGATGCAAGGCTGATCATCTTAGATTAATAAGATGAGGTTTCTCTTGGCATTTAGGTGGCAACAATTGCATGGTTTGAAGCTGACTCGGTTTGCGGTAGTCACTCAGTTGGAATTCCACTAGTGCTTGTTATCCCTTATATTTGGCGGCTAATGCAATGCCTGCGGCAGTACAAGGACACAAAAGAGAAGGCAACACTTTTTAATGGTAATGCATCTAGGTCCCTGATACTTACTATTTTCTTGTTAATTTACATCTAGTCAGCTAGGGATATGGAACTATGAACTGTTAAGTTGTACAATGTTATGCCCCAAGAAATTTGTTAAGTTTTGTGGTCAGCAGACCCTTGAACTTTGTCAGTACTTTGTTTTCCTAGCTCTGGCTTGTTTTATCTCATATGGGCTATGTGACTATTGTACAACTGATTATTGTTCTAGCCATTTTGCCTTTAACTGCTATCTATTTTGTTGTAACCCAATTTGCATGTGGTTTTCAGCTTTGAAGTATTCGACAGCAGTCCCCGTGATCTTTCTTTCAGCCCTTAAATATCATGTCTTACCTGATAGTTGGACATATATTTACCGTCGCCTCTGGCTTTTCTCAATTGTTGTTAACTCACTCTACTCATTTTACTGGGACGTAACTCGTGATTGGGACCTTAGGTATGTTGACATTTCCATTTTCCGGGGCAGAGGCACTCTTATATGTAGCTTTTGAAAGGGCACTTTGGCATTTTTGCACCTAATGTTAAGTTCATTTTGAATGTGGCATGTGCAACTGAAACATCACATGGGAAGCAAAAGTGTTGAATAAGGAAATATAAATAGCTTTTCTATTTAATACTGTTTCAGTAACTCTTTAGAAGGGAACATATCTTTAGTCTGTTAATAAATGCTGCTTTTGCTTGCATTCACATGTCCTTAACTCAATTTACCGTACCTGAACCAGAAAATGCTACACATCCTGTAATTATCGAACTTTCTATCATGGCATGCATACTGATGTTTTCTTCCCTCTCTTTTGTCAGTGTCTTCACTAGAATTTTCAAGTTCAACAAACCAAGTTATTGTTCCAACCTGTTATATGGGCGACAATGGGTAAGGATCGTAGGTGCTGTTAGCTATTCATGCCATTTCATTCTGCAAGATACTTAGTGTCACATTGATAGCTAGTTCACGTGCATATAATTTGCCTTTTGTTTCGTTTCGTTTTTTCCTTTTTTCACTTTGTAGGTTTATTTTTGGGTTATTGGGAGCAACTTGATTTTGCGTTGCACATGGACATACAAACTCTCTGCTCATCTCCGCCACAACTACTTGACTGTCTTCATGGTTACGGCCTTAGAGATGCTCAGAAGGTTCCAATGGATTTTCTTCCGAGTGGAAAATGAGTGGAATAAAATCACCAAGTCCGGCTTTCAGCTTCCCATGACTGACATCGCAAGAGAGGATGAAAAATTACTAGGCTCAACCAATCACAATGTATAGATTACACAGTCTCTGGCTTCAAGGTAGCATCAAATTAAATTCATTCTTTGCTTATATCGCATATTATTTCAGCCTTAAAAGCAGTTGCTCCATTTTGGTTGCCCCCTGTTACACTTGGACAATAGGTTGGATTTTCATACCGTACAGTTTGTTGGGACCAGTTTTGATTTGCGAACACGGCCTAGATGTATAACCCTGACTAAACATTATATCATATTGGAGATTTAGAAGTTAGTCTAGAATTGAACTAGTTTCCAGTGTTGTCACATCTCATATTGAATTTTTCCGCAATTGATGCTTGGTTACCATATCACGATCATAAGGTTTTCTCTTTAATTTATTTATTTATTTATTTTTCTTTTCATTAAATCGTGGGAGAAAGAGAATTAAAATTTGAAATCATATAAACTGATAAAATTTCGAAAAGGAAGTAGAAAAGAAATCAATACCCAATTTCGAGCTTCGCAAGTTTCCTACGAGACCATGTTAATGGTGATGCAAAAGCATAAAAACTTCATGTCTTGGCTGGAAAGTTTTCTCTTTTCTTTTGTTTTCTGGGGGTTTAAGAGGGAGTGTGGAAAGAACTGTATTTGGTAGTATTCTTTAACCAATTAGGTAATAAGCAGCCAGGTTTCCAAGGGAAATCATCCAAATTTTCGGAACACACAAAAGGAGAGGGCAAAAAAAAACACAAATTTCCTCCGAAATGAAAGAAGCACTTGTCGGGACTCATCTATAAAGCAAAACAAAAAGCAAGTGTATTGTTTTGTTATTGTTCTGTTTCAGTTCTGTTGGGACATCCTTCAGGTTTCGAAGCAACGACAAGCGAAGAAATAAATAAAGAAAGAATACTTAAAACCCCCGGGCACTCAAACAAAGTTACTTTTGGGGTTGGTTTTTGCCCTTACAAAGAAGGTGACTCACGAAATACAAATCGTGGCCACTTTGTCAAGCTAGCCTCTCCTTCCCCCAACTCCCTCTCACACCCCCACCATTATAAACCGCCAAAACTGGTCCTCACACCACACTCGTGCCCCTCGAAAACCTTTCTTTCCAGTTCATATAAATTTCCCAAGCTCATCACTCATTCCTCTCTCTCTCCCTCTCTCTTTCTCCCTCTCTATGTGTCCACGGCCATGGCTTGCAATCTTTCTCAGAGGCAGATTTATGCATTAGCAATTTCTTTGGCCGACGAAGCTTCTTGGTGCTGTGTTTTCGTCTTGTTAACCCTGCTATTGCTGAACTCTTGCAAGGAGACTACTACGATAGCAAATGATGAGGATGTCAAAGGGAGACAGCTTTTGGGCAGACCATGTGATGAAATCTATGTTGTTGGAGAAGGAGAAACCCTTCACTCTATCAGTGACAAGTGTGGTGATCCTTTTATCGTGGAGCAGAATCCTCATATTCATGATCCCGATGATGTTTTTCCTGGACTTGTCATCAAGATCACCCCTATGAAGTCTAGGAAGTCCTTGAGGTAGCTTTGTTCACTTCATTATTGCTTTTGGTTGTAATTATAGTTTGTTTAATTTTCCTCATCAATGGAAGTATCGAAACATTCTTGCAAGAACATAAGATATATTCGAATTAAACATTCTTCTTCATACTTGTAAGATTCATCAATGGATCGAACTTCTTGTTTATTATATTCCTTTATTGTTTCTCTTTAGTAAGTACATGAATAACATGATATACATGCTGTAAGGCCCGTCGTAAAAACTTGAAATCTTTTCTCCATGTACGAGGTGAAGCTTGAAACTTGGAACATGAAAACAGAGAGGCACAAACATATTCCGTTCCGGTACAAGTGATTAAACAAATCAAGATAATCAAGGAAGATGGAATGTTGGAAAGCTTGATAAGATAAGCATTAAACAATGACAAAAGTTGGGTAATTAATTATCTGGATCAATGTCTCATTAGTCCATTAATTATCTAATGGAATGACTGCTTCACCATTTTATACCTACAAAGAAAAAGGTCCTTAATAATTTCTACCAACATTTCTCTTTGTTCTCGGATGAAGCTAAATGGCAATATATATATATATATATATATATATATATATATATATTATTAAGCCCAAGTGGGGCATATTTTCCATTAATCAACAGGTGGGGTGGAGGAATAAATCCTCCATTAATTACCACGTGTACAAGCTAGAAATAATGCTATGAAATTACCACCCCAACCAAACAACTTTGGATTTATTTTTATCCATACCAATTTGACATTTTCCATTTGTTATAATATTTTTTTAATTATTATGGTAAAAAAATGGCGAGAAACCAGAAGAGGGCTCATTTCTAAGCCTGCGAAAATAAGATTCTGGTATTGGGCTGCTCTCAACCTAGTCGGGCCTAAGCTTGCGGACTTTGTGACTTGGACCCATCAGTTTCCAAACCATTAAAAGCCAAGTTGTTCGATTCGGGCTGAGGTTCGAATCTTGTTACAATAGTCATCCAACTTGAAATCCGATATCTTGTAATCGGATATTTTAATTTTATAAAATGTTTATAGAATGCAAGTACTTAATTATATTTTATTTTTTAATTGAATATTTTGTCAAATAATAAAATGTTTAGATGGAATATCTAATTAACGGTTTTAGTCCCAAATTATTTTGCAGAAGTGGATTTAATATATCCTTGCCAAAAATTGTACTCCCAGTGTCTTAATGGCGAACAAGAGTATTCATGCATATGCTTCCTTTGTGGGCGACAATATTCACTTTAGTGGAACGCAACAGTGAATTGATGAGGAATAATTATGATAAAGAACCCTGATTAGACTCATCAACACAATGCTGTTTCCCTGTTAAGAGATTTTCACGGAGTTGTTGACTTTTCGTGGTCCAATCAGATCATTGTCATCAGTACCCTTTGCCTTTCTAATTCTTATAACGACCAAACATGATTCAACGAAATCCCATAGCTGATCTGAAGCTGAAAAAGAACTTTGTGGAATGACCCATGCGTGAATTATCCCCACAACGGGATATGACAATCGATGAAGTGAACTCTTCTACCGTAGGCTTGCTTGGCTTTACTCCTTTTATGGCCCAAATCTGCTGCCCGAGATGCCAACAAATACATATCCTTATCTTGGACTCAGCTGCTTTCATTGGCTGCCATGCAACTTAACACTCAAGGTTTTTGCATGTGCATTTTTCCTCCAGAGAACTAACAGAGTAAAGAATTAAGCACCACAGGTTATCCAATTTTATGAGTTGATCCCATGATCATTAAGCACAGGAAACTTGGCCTCGTAGTTCATTTCTTCACTTCTCTGAACTATGCTCTGCTAATGGAGTAGTTCACAGTTGCTTTCGAGCATAAAAAGGTTTTGTTAAATCAAGCTCTCCATTCCTTGAAACATCGGAAACCAAGAAGTGGATGTTAGATTTCTGTTTCTCCCACTTGTAGATTTCGATAGACTATACCGCATATTCAATATCCCACTTCTTATTTTTCTATATCCGAATTAGCACCAGAGAATATTCAAGGGGAAATTGCAGAAAAAAGGGGAACCAGACTGAATTCTCCCCAAATGGATAGGGTTCAAAATGGAATATTCAACATATATTATTACTGGACCATATACAAGAATAAGGTTTTTGTCATCTCTGAAAACTTTAATTAAAACGACCGCTACATTTATATTTCTTTGTCCTTAGCAAATTAAGAAACTCACGCGATTCCTCCAAACTGATACATAGGAAGAGAGGGTTGGTCATCGTAATTTAACGTTCATGAACATCATTTCCTTGCTTGTATGTGTCCAGGTTTGAAAAGAAAAAGAAAACCCAGATTTTTCTGCACATCATTGTTGTTAAAATATATGTTTGTGGTCGTCCATCCATTGCATGTGTCTGTTTATCTTTCTCCTAGGTAGTAATGTTGGTAATATCTTTTTAACTTTTAGGAGTTAGGTACAACATTTGTCTAACTTGAAAGGCCAAGGAATATACGGCTAATCCAGCTTTCTAGATTAACTTTTGAACCTAATTAACAGTCATGGTGTTAAAAGTAAGATATTCTCTTCATTTCAGTCCCAAATATCAGTACTATTGTCATAATTGAATCGTAAAAAAGAAGGTTTAATGATGACCTTTCAATATTCTAAGGAGCCAGACAGTTCGCGAACGACACGTGTTTTGTCTCGTGATTTGTAATGGTGGCTGAAAAACATCCCTCGTTCCTGTTCATTTTGAGGCTGCTGCACTATATATGTAAATGGGGTTTTGACATTGCTTGGCGACTCGACCCTGTACATTAAACCTTATTTTCTGCTTCCCTTGCCAGATACCACCTCTAATTTTTCTGCTTCTCAATGATCTCCAGGTTCTAACTTCACAGAAACAGGGAAAACTTAGCAGTTCTTGATCAGCTAGCTGCTCACCACAAGCTCGCAGAAACTGTAAGTCGGCTGCTCGTAGCACTTTGCCTGTACCTTCTTCTTTTTCACCTGAATAAGTACGCTTGTGTGTATACTTTTTCATCTAGGTACGTGCATGTAAGATTATACAGACCCTTAATTAGTATTTGATTAATGTAAAAATTAAGGTGCAAAGACAAAGAATATGTATCCTAACATGCTGGGGTTGCCAAATGCTAATTATTAAAGCTTAGCCTAATAATACTGCTAAATGGAAGATTCGCATATATCACCTTTTTATGTTTTAATAATTTATAAGATAAGGATAACAAAAGTGTCAAACAGGTATCTTTCTTTTATACATTAATAGAATAATAAAATATAATATTTTTTTAAACAAAAAAAAATAAAAAATCATATAAGAACTCATTATTTCAAATACACATCTTATATATATATATATATAATTTTACAAGTTTCTTTTCTTTTTATTAAACTTTTGAATATTATGTTCAATTTTTGGCTCAGCTAACTTTACTATTTTGCCTTTAAAATGCTTTTTCTTTTGATGAATTTAAAATTTAAAGTAATGTCAAAATAATATTTCTTTTCCTTTCTTTTTTGACTTAACACTTGAAACACATCTGCATGCAGAGATTTTAAACTATATATTCAAGTTATCATGTTTCATGATCTATTTAGTTAATCACTTCAGTTGAGTTTTGGCAAAGATTTTCAAAACCAACTAGAGTTCTCATCATTTTATTAAAATAATATTGATATAAATATTCAGTATAATATTTAAAAAAACTTTTAAATTATTTAAAAAAATTTAAATAAGTGTTGATTCTTTATTATTACGTACATATATCTTTATATTTTTATTTTAAATCAAATAAATTTTGATAATTAATAATTAATTATTATTAATTAAAATATTATTAATTATTTTATATTATATGACACTAACATAATATGTTGATATATTATAATAGATGATGATGTGGTATGTTGATGCGATATGATAACATTATCACATGTCATATATTTTACTTTACACTTACTTGAATTTAAAATATCAAGTAATATTTTAATTAATAATAATTAGTTAACTGTTAATTATAAAAATTTATTTAAAATTTAAAATGTTTTTCAAACATTATGTCAAAATATTTTCATTGTTTTAAATTAATACTAAAAACTCTAGCTATATGGACTGGTCTTCACTAAGTCTTCAAGCCCATGTCAAATGAGGCCTGGCCCGAATGTACGATCGCTTAGCCCATGGATATCTATTGATTTTCAATTTTAAAAGATGAAACACCGCCGCCTTTTAATAACGAAAAACACAGGATCCCTGGAGTCGGGGTGCGTTATACACCTGTAAAAGCTTTTAAGCTGCCACGTACTGTCCTATAAACTCGTTCTCGCAAATTGCTTTTGCCCCTCCTAACTAAAAACCAAACTACATTTACAAATTTCGCGCGATTTCCATGACACTCCTCAACTTCACGCCTCTGTCTCTTGTAGATTTGGTCATTCAGTTCTGTCGGCCATGGATTTCTTTTTCTTCCAAATCCCCCAAAATTTTTTGTTTCTTTTTTCTTTCGGTTTTAGATTCTGATTCCCATGAACGAACCTTTTGCAAGAGCTGCTTTCGTCTAGTCCAATGAATCTTTTTCTTGTTCTTTGTTTTCCTAGTACTTAAAATTCTTTGCTACCATGTTTGCCTAACTGCCATCTGCTTATACTCCACGCAAATGCTAAACATGTTCAGACCGAATAAGGTTTCTAGTTGTGTTTTGCTGATCCTCCTACGATCTTTAAGGCCTTTTTGTTTCTAGGTTTCTGTTTAAAGGTCCAAACTGTCCCCCTTTTAATATTCCGGAATATTGGTTTTTTACTATTTCATATCTTTCTGGGGGTTTAAAGGATCTGAGTATGTAAAGAAAGTCCATATCTTTCCAATCATAATTTCCACTAAACTTGAAAATTCTTGAATTATTCGGATGTGTTACTTACCTTGACAAGATTTTGAAGCTTCATTGCTCCAAGAAACTTATATAGTAGTTAAGAATAGAGTCTCAGATCATATTTTCTGCTTTTCTTTGTAGCAGTGAATTGGCTTTTGCGTTTAAGATGGTGGCCTTCGGGAAGAAGTTGAAAGAATCACAAATTCAAGAATGGCAAGGGTATATGTATGGTTTATATATTCTGACTGCTATTTGAGTTGGGTTTGGTAATTTCTTCAAGTATGCCTGAAATGTGTTTATTTTCAGGTATTATATTAACTATAAATTCTTGAAGAAGAAAGTCAACCGATACGCTCAACAACTGGAGGTTGGAGCCCAAGATCACCGCTATGTTCTCAAGGACTTCTCAAGAATGCTAGACAGCCAGGTAAACTTAGCAATAGATGAATCTCATTCACATAACTAATGCAAAGACAGACCTGTTACTGTTATTTTAGAGTATAAATACCATTTTCTGTCTGCTTGTCTTGGCAATTTTTAGATTGAAAAGATTGTATTGTTTCTGCTGGAACAACAAGGACAACTAGCGAGCAGATTATCTGATCTTAGAGAACAGCATGACGAAATTTTGCAGCAGACAGATGGAGCAAAAATATCAGAGTTACAAGAAGCATACAGAGGAGTAGGACATGATCTTTTAAGGCTTCTCTTTTTTGTTGAGATGAATGCTACTGGCTTGCGAAAGATTTTGAAGAAGTTTGATAAGCGCTTTGGCTACAGATTCACCAATTACTATGTCAAAACCCGTGCAAATCATCCTTATTCTCAGCTGCGACAAGTGTTTAAACATGTGGTAATGCATCCGATTTTAACATCAATCTTCTCTTTGTTCCTGTTTTATTAAGATTTTGATATTATTTTTATAGGAATTTCTTAGTTGCACTTTCTTTTCTTTGGCACATGACACGCAGATAACTATACAAGCATGATTCAGCTTCTATAGTCTCTTCATGTGAATGAAAGCTTTATCAGCTACTAGTTGAACATGCAGGGTTTTGGGGCTGTTGTTGGAGCCATATCTCGCAATCTCGCAGACCTGCAAGACCATCAAGGGAACTACGTATCAATATATGATCAGCCTGCTTTATCCCATCCGGTTTTTCCTCGGATCCTTTCCTTCACTATCTATCCATTGTTCATTACTCTCTTCTAATATTCAACTTGTAAAGTGGTGAAGTATATAGAAGTTCACAATGCATCACCATATATATAAGAATCTCCATTTTCTTGGTAAACAATCTATATATAAATGAAGCATGTAATTTTTAACTGATATTTTAGAATGGCTGCAGCTGCATATGTACTTTAAACGGATCGTGAATTACTTGATTTTATATTTGATCAATGCTAAGAAACATAAACCAGAGCAATATTTCAACTCCATTGAAAATTTTAATTGCATTAGGGCCATTCATGAGCTGATAGTACTTCATTCAGCAACTTGATGATATATTCTTTTCAGTGATAGAGACTCAACAATCAAATGCTTCTCCATAACTTCTTAAACAGAACTGTGGATTTTGGAGCTAGAAGCTAAATTAGAAAGAAAAGACTTCCACTTAACTTGTCTTAGATTATGTATCTGACCAGAAACTAGAAAAAATTACCTCTCTTTGGTCATTTAATGACCTTATTCAGAAATGATGTAATTGAAATTCCAGGGCCTAGTTGGGTGTAGAGTTGTTTAACTTTGGTGCTAGACATGAGTTTCTTAGGGCATATCATTTCAACTTCGTCTATAGTGAATTTTCTATTGTTTCACATAGTATTTCTGCATTCTTGTTTGTGTGCTTCAATTGATAAGTAAAAGCAAAGACTGTAAAACGTGCAGGATCCTGTGGTTTATTCCATAAAAGCAGCGGTAAACAGATTATCCAATTCAACAAACTTTCTCGAGTTTTTGGGGAAGCATGCATTTATTATGCAAGATGATTTACCAACTCCATCTGAAGAAGATGTTGTGGAGGAGAGATATCATTTCATGTCACTTCTCTTGAATTTGGTAAGCACGTTTCTATATATGGTCAACACATATATCATTGTCCCAACCGCAGATGACTACTCCCTTAGCCTTGGAGCTGCAGCAACTGTTTGTGGTGTTGTCATAGGGTCAATGGCTGTTGCACAAGTGTTCTCTTCAGTTTATTTTAGTGCATGGTCGAACAGATCATACTTGAGGCCACTTATTTTTAGCAGTGTTGTGCTTCTCATTGGAAACACCTTGTATGCTTTGGCTTATGATCTTAATTCAATAGCAGTTCTTCTGGTTGGTCGACTATTTTGTGGGTAAGTTGTCTAATCATTTCTCTGGTTTAATAATATATAGGAGGCCTATCAGGAAAGAAGTTCATTTTGATAGTAGTACCGCAGTCCTCTTGTTCTTTTAAAATGATTCATCTTCACTAATATCACTTTCTTAATGGAAAAGTTAATGCTGCTGATATTTCCAGGTTAGGTTCTGCAAGAGCTGTAAACAGGCGTTATATCAGTGATTGTGTGCCACATAAACTGCGGATGTGGGCATCTGCAGGTTTTGTTACTGCAAGTGCTCTTGGAATGGCATGTGGTCCAGCTCTCGCCTGCTTGTTTCAAACTAATTTTAAGATTTACAAACTCACATTTAATGAGGACACTTTACCTGGTTGGGTTATGGCTCTTTCCTGGCTTTTCTATTTACTGTGGCTGTGGATTTGCTTTCAAGAGCCTCCTCAGGAGATCAAGGAGAATATGTTGCCACAGGAAGTTCATTCTGGTTGGTCAACAAGATTGAATCTCATACGTTTTGCATTTACTGTTCTTGTCTTAATTTTTCTAATTCATTTTATACCATATTAAAGTATTGATATTTTCTGCATCCCTAGGGTTCAATTTTTAGTTATAAGAAACATTAGGGAGCCAAATGATGTCCACTTGGACTCTGGCTCTTTCATTCTCTGAGATCCTTTTGTATGACGCAGTAGGCATTTCTGGGTCCAAGATTTGCTATTTCATAAAAGCTCCATTTTGTCTCTTGTAGTTTCAAGTCCATCATTGAACAACAATACAATATCATTCCAAAATTTATTCAAGGAAACTTTGTCTGTTTTAGGATCATCGGTGAATTATGCTGTAGAGAATGGTTACACGCAGCCACTGCTTTTGAACATGGAAGCCAAGCAACAAGGTCAAAATGAAGACGCAGAATGTGATGATGGCGAGGAAGATTCTTGTGAGAAAACTCACAAACCTGTCACTTCAATTGTCTCAGCATACCGGTTACTCACACCATCTGTAAAGGTATAAAGTTGATTCTTCATTCTCAATTTATCTTTCATCAACTTCAATTCTCTGAGCTGACTTTGCAATGGTCCTTCTTACTGAAATTGTTCTATTGTTCATCAGGTTCAATTATTTGTTTATTTTATGCTTAAATATGCAATGGAGATATTGCTTGCTGAAGCAAGTGTCATCACTGCATATTACTTTATATGGTCAACCAGCAGTGTGGCGATCTTTCTTGCATGTCTTGGGCTAACAGTACTTCCAGTAAACATTGTTGTTGGAACCTACATCAGCAACATGTTTGAAGAAAGGTGAGTTCACAGATGACAAGAAGCATGATAATTCCAGCTCTAGGTGCAACAGTTTTTCAAATGGTCTTAGTTTCAGTTACATTTAGGAAACAGTATTCCAAAGTTGTCATCAGGCTTAATCGGAGCATAATGGTCAAAAGAAAAATATATTGTTCAAGATATTTCTATTTCTGTCAATTTCAAGTAACAAGAGCAAGAGCATAATCAGTTCAGCTGATAGACCGAACCAGTAAGCTCTGAGCCTCTTATAATCAAGTTATTCTCCAATGCATAGTGTAGTGAGTGATTATATTAGGATATTTTTCTGCCACTGATTTGTTCACATCTATTCCCAGATGACATGCATCTCATTTAACCTGATTGCAGGCAAGTTCTGCTCGCATCTGAAATCATGGTTTTGATTGGTATACTCCTAAGCTTCCATATCGGCATCCCTTACTCTGTGCCTCAGTATGTCGGCTCTGCACTAATCACTTTTGTATCTGCTGAAGTCCTTGAAGGTACTTTCTGTGGTTACTTTGTGTGAACAAAACAATGCACTATCCATGTAGGCAAGGATGACTGCTTGTTCTTTCTGCTGACATTTGAAACCTTTTAAATCCTGCTATAAAAAATTTGATATGGCATTCTATATTAGAAGGCCAAACTGTAACACATAGTACTAGTGTTTACTATTGAGGCTTTAGTTTTTGCTCCCTAACTGTAATTCTTGGATTCCCTTCAATGATCAATCCAGGTGTGAACTTGTCGCTCCTCTCCCGGGTCATGTCATCAAGGCTTTCTCGTGGAACTTACAATGGAGGGCTGCTTTCAACAGAAGCCGGAACCCTTGCCCGAGTAATTGCAGATGGTACAATAACACTATCTGGCTACCTGGGCGTGAGTAGGCTCTTGAATACTACCTTGGTTCCTTCACTATTCATCTGTATCTCCTCCATTATTGCCACCTGCTTCACCTACAACGCTCTTTACTAACACCCTCTCGTAAGCAAAAATTTTGTGGAGTAGCAGTTCCATGGATAAACTCATGCTCTAATCAATTGCCAAGTATAAGTAGATACAATTTCTCGAACTTCTAATCATTGCTGAACGCAAAACATTCAAAGCAATCAGTGGCCGTTATGATTGATTCCCATTTTTCCAGCCTATATGCAACACCCGAACCAGTTGATCACCTGATAAAGCACAAACAATATGAAAAACTGTCCTAGCCTAATATTTACACAAGATTTAGATCTTATAGATATTGAGCTGCTTATGTCTTATAGAAACTAAGACAATGCCTAACACGAGCAGCATAAACTACTCTTCTACGTCCCTAAGTAAGGTTTTGTTCGATGAATAAGCTTTGAGTAAACAATTTGAGGTTTCCTCCTCCAACAAAATGCAAAAGGCAAAATAAAAGAGGACTCAGTACTGAACTAAACCTGGACAGGGAATAGGAGGAATAGCAGTGTTACTCAAGAGGATTGTTCCAAAGGATTGTTGATAAATATTGGAATACCAAAATAATTGTATATTTATTTGAAAAAGCCTAATATAACATATAATTTAATTCAATAATTTGAATATTGGAACACCCGAAGTACAAGGTTTCTTTTTAATATAATGCATATATATATATTTATTTATTTAAAGGAGCAAAATTTTAGGATAAAATATATATTAATAGTGTAATGAATAAAACTATGGAATGCGCACGTCATACGCCCCTAGACAAAACCTCATGCGACTTTACTTCATGAGTTCGATTCGTACGTTTATTTAAACGCGAATTAGATTCAGCTCCCTAGTTGTTTTCTAGAATAGAAAACCTGACAAATTTTCTGGGTCCGTCCAATTCCATTCCTCGGTGAAGCAAGAGAGGAAGAAAAGGTTTTGTGGAAAAGATGGCAGACAATCTGGATTTACCAGAGGCAACTGTTCAGAACATACTGGACCAAGAGAGCCTGAAGTGGGTTTTTGTTGGTGGCAAAGGAGGGGTGGGCAAGACCACTTGTAGCTCGATTCTTTCGATCCTCTTGTCTCGGGTCAGATCCTCGGTCTTGATTATATCCACGGATCCTGCTCATAATCTCAGCGATGCCTTTCAACAAAGGTTCACAAAGACTCCTACTTTGGTTAATGGCTTCAGCAATTTATATGCCATGGTACCCTTTTTTATTTTTCTAGCCTTTTTATTTGATTTTCGTTTCTGGGTATTCAGGGATTTGGCCTATGGTTGTCGTGTGAGATTTTCATGGGGTGTTTTGGTTGTAAATTTGGGTCCTTTTGGAATAAATTAGGCAATGCTCAGTCATGTTTTGTTTTTGATTGTTGATTTGTGGATAATTTGATATGCTTTCATGAAGTTGCAAATACCCGGTCCCTAAATGCTCTATTTTCAACTTATTTCCATCTGAAAGGAGGAACAATTATGTGAATATGATTTCATTGTAATTTAGTAATGGATTCAACCCGGTTTATTGCTTAGCTTCTGCATTAAGGATTAGTTCTTTGTTAGAACTTTTACAAGATGATATGTGGTGATTGTTTCATTTGTCAAAATTTTATTCAACACCTTTCTACATTTGATGCATAATAGGAGGTGGATCCTACAGTCGAAAATGAAGATATGGGTGGGCCTGAAGGAATGGATAGTTTATTTTCTGATTTGGCAAATGCAATTCCAGGAATTGATGAGGCAATGAGCTTTGCAGAGATGCTTAAGTAAGAATACTGTTCTATTTTCTTTGATACTTCGATTAGGATGAATCATCTGGATGCATTAAGTGGCTGTTGCTTCTTTTCAGTTTCTATATGTATATTGGAACAAGTTAAGAGTTACTAGGTTTTATTGAAAGCTTTTAACTTTCTCTATTAGTATCTTTATGATTTTCAACCAAAAGCCTTAAAACAGGGCATGAATTAAGAAAGATTACAGTTCAGCTGTGCTGATTGTGGGCATTTTCTAGATTTTACTTTTGAAAGTTTTAATTCACATACTATGGCCTAGGGTCTAATATAATGATCAAATCGAAGACTTAGCTTTCGGTGTGCATGTTCATGTTTTGTTCTATTTTGTTTCACACTTTTCAATGGTTGATAATTCTAGGATATATGAAAAATATCCCTTAGTTTTTGAAGTGTATAAGATAAACTATGATGGATAGCTTCTCTCTAAACTATTTCTTGCATGCTCTTCGCCACCTTTTACTTGTGTTTTCTCAGCTCCCATAGGTCTGTTGTTGTCTGAATGTAATGCATTCTTGCAGATTGGTGCAAACAATGGATTATTCTTGCATTGTATTTGACACTGCCCCAACTGGCCATACGCTTCGACTTTTACAATTCCCAGCTACCTTAGAGAAGGGACTTGCAAAAATGATGTCATTGAAAAGCAAATTCGGTGGTTTGTTGAGTCAGGTATGACTTTATGTTTTAGTATGTCTTATCACCAGATATTGCTAATCCAGTCTTCAAGAATTTTGTCAACAATGGGCCTGTTGTTAGTAAAATTTTGTTTTAACCTTTATGTTATTTCCGTTAAAACTACTATTCTTTCTTGAATGTCTTATTTCAAGTGATCAATTCTTGCAATGATGTCTGATAAGTTTGTCTTCAATACCATTTTAAAGGTTATAGCTCAAATGTCCGCCCACAGGATTTACCAATTGTTATTATTTCCTAGTTGGTTTTCCTTATATATAAATCATGGAGTTTGAAACTCATCATTGTAGATGACACGTCTCTTTGGGGTTGATGATGAATTTGGGGAGGATGCAATTTTGGGGAGGCTTGAAGGCATGAAGGATGTGATTGAACAAGTTAATAAGCAGTTCAAAGACCCAGTAAGATATACCATTCTCAACTTTTTTTTCCATACATATTGTTTTTAGTTTTCCTTCTTCATTGGTTAATATATGAAATTTAACTGCATATTTGACAACAATCTGCTTGGTAGCCATCAGAGGCTGTCCTTGCACTAAGCTTGGATTTTTTATTTTAGCATATTAAGAGCTTTTATAAACAATATAATGATTGCCATGCTTTTTGACTAGTGAAGTAGAGTCTTTCCTTTAGCAGAGTAAGTTTGGCCATCCATGATATGCCACAAATTCAAGGCTTTGTTATTCATGATAAGTTAATCTAACGTGATGATATTCTTTCTTTTGAAAATGGAGAGAAGGAAGGACAAAAGCTGCTGCTATGTGTGGAGATCCACTTGATTCAATCTCCTGCTTAGTTTTCACTCTTCATGATATAGAGGAAGTGACAGATATACCTCTAAATTTACAATTGTTAAAGCACTAAAACTTGTGAAGTGTGTTGGAGGCATTTTTTCACTTTTCGATTTCAAGTTTCTGGAAGTCTTATGCAACTTACTGAAACTTTTACCATCTGGCTTTTGTTCTATTTTGACTGAAGTTTCTTGAGGTGCCCATGCATTTTGTATGATGCACTTTCCTTTTGGCAGGACTTGACAACCTTTGTCTGCGTTTGCATTCCAGAGTTCCTCTCTCTGTATGAAACAGAGAGACTGGTGCAGGAACTCACCAAGTTTGAGATAGATACACACAATATTATCATTAACCAAGTAATTTTTGATGAAGAAGGTATGTTTACTTCTACTATATCTATCATTTTTCTTTCTGCCCCAGAGAATTGTTGCTTAAAGAAAAAAGCTTACTATCAATTGGCCTGTGTTGTAATTTAAGATGTTGAATCCAAGTTACTGAAAGCAAGAATGCGGATGCAACAAAAGTACCTCGATCAGTTTTATATGTTATATGATGACTTTCACATCAGTAAGCTGCCACTGCTGCCAGAAGAGGTGAGTTCAAGTATATTTTATGTGAAAATTTTACTTTAACAATGCATAAACCAGTTATAAGATAAAATTTATGTGCATTGATATTCTTATTATTTGATTGGTTTTCAAAACTTGTAGATAGAAGATCTTTCTATCTTTCTTAGCACCGACTGCCTCCACGATGAATTGTTATTTTTCCAAAATATTCTGTGATTTGATTGTGGAATTTTGTTGGACAAACTTTTTGCATCCCTAGGAGAATCCGTAATGTGTTATTTTCCCCTAAACAGTCACTGATTGTCATTATTGTTTCTTTCCTTGCCTCTTGTTTCTCTAAGAATCATTTCTGCATTTCAAGAATATAATCCTTGAGCATGAAACTGATTGCCAAATCTGAATTTTGTATCTAGACATATATTGCTAAGCATTTTCATTTCAATAGTTGAGGCTCTTGATCATCCTTGTATGGCTATAACAGGTTACTGGGGTTGAAGCTCTGAAAGCATTTTCACGTCATTTTCTTTCACCATATCAACCTTCTCGCTCTATAGAAACAGTAGAAGAACTAGAGCAAAGAGTATCCACTTTAAAGCAACAGTTGTCAGATGCTGAAGCAGAACTTGAGAAACTCCGAAAAGGAAAACAGAAGGTCTGATTGCCGTCTTATGACTTCATATGGCTCTTTTCCACTTGGCTATTCGGTCGGCCATGTGTGGCATCATTACTACTCGACCCAAAGGGAATTTAGCAGTCTATTTTATTGCTGGATAATGTTGCATAGCATTATTTATTTTAGAAAAATTCTTTACGATACTTTTTTCACTTTTGGCAGACCTGTAATCTTCATATTAACCTTGTGAGGGCATTCTTTTTCTATTATTATTTTAAGAATGGCACCACTATGCTTGACCATGGACAATTTTTGTTTATCATAATAAATTTTCCTTTTGTTCATTCCCCCATGCGGAAACAAATTTGATATGCTTACAAATAATAGGTTGGATACAGGTTTTTCTAAGCTTTATCTGCTGTAATTGAGTTCGTTTCCTTGGGAAGTGACTAGTGAGACAGAACACTATGCAGGAAAGCTTGTTCTTGTTGGCTTGGCTCCCTCGCAGGCCATCAGTGCAGAAGAAAGGTCCATAATGGATAAAAAAAGAAGACAAATATCCAGGTGTAATAGTAGTGGGTACTGTGATATTCACGAAATTAAGTTCTCTTTTACCCTTTGCTTAAACATTTACAAAAATAAAATCCAACTATCAGAAATCAGAACCTTTCAGGGAGTGAGAGCACTTTATTTTGGGCAAGGTACCAACCATGAAGATCATATATTGCTTAATACTATAATCCAAGGCACCTTATTTTGTTTTTTTTTTTAATAGGGATAGGAGGAATAACAAACAAAGAAAACTACAAGTAGCTACAAGAAACATATATTAACTAAGCAGAAATTAGTCCATTGCACAAAAATAAAAGAACATGAGGCCTAAACACTAAAAATATCATTGCACTTTCATATAATATCTTAAGCAATGCTGTTCAGAGGCATTACAACTATGCCAAACTTTGATATCCTCTTCATCGCAATTGTTTATAAGATAGAGTAACAATCATCTAGATACTATCCACCATGCAATGTAGAAATAAAAACTACCACATCCTTCTCTTCCAAGGTTGTGTCAAGCTGACCAGTCAACTCCCAGTCGCAATCATTTACTAGCACAAGAACACCTGGTCTCCTGCACAAACCAATCCCTCAACCAGTTTAGCAGATTGCTTTTAAAGTTAAGTCCTAATTGAATTTGTTGCTTCATTAAGCAAGAGTACTAAGATCCTTAAAAACTTACACAGACTCCCCTTTCATGAACATTTCAGGTCTCTCCTTGATCAAATCGGTACGAACCCAAGACAGTAAATATCTCATGGTTAACTGTGAAAGCCCAAAAACAAACACAATACTCTTCAGTCAGCTTACATAATAAAAACTCATCTAATAACCTGTTTACAACATCTTAAGTTTAGAAGAGGAAGAGGCTTACCTTATCTGCTCCTTTTGGGAGATCAACATTCACATTATGAACTTTAACAGACTCACATAACAGTTCTAAACCTCCACTGCATCAAACAATGAATAACAGAAAGACATTAAAAGCAAGAACAAGCAGAACAGTTTTGGTAATATCCTCAAGAAAGAACTTCATTACGAGAAACTGCAATACAGATGAGGGGCAAAAAGATGGAATTTTGAACCAATCCCAAGATTGTTCCTATATTTTGATACCCTTTTTGATTAATTGTACAAAGATTTCACTGTAGCAGAAGCAGCAAACTTTTTTGTCGTAAAAAGCAAAATCAAAGCCTAAATAAGCACAGAAGATTCAATGAGATTACCAATCTTTACGCAGTTTTTTGATCAAACCCAAAACTGATAATCAGTTTTGATTAAAGACATGAAAGGAAGTAAAAAACTTACCCAAACTCTAGAGTCAATTGCATTCTGAACAAATTTCCGCAGAAATTCAAAAACCCTAACTCGGGACTTTGCGAAGGGCGCTTTGTTGTCACGGAATAATCAGTTTGCACGACGTCGTTTTCGAGCATTGACACTTTTGCATTCTTTGGGCTGAATATTTGGGCCCAGTAGTAAATAGGAAGATAGTTCGGCCCTTTTTATTGGGCCTCTTTTTCTTGGATTGCGATGAACTTTCACTTAAAAAGGTACAATTGAACAATTTGTCATTTTATTGAAAGGAAAATTCAACAATTTCTTCATCAAAATACTTTTTTTTTAAAAAAAATTGTAAATAATTTATCATGTGGAACTCAAGATTCAGGTAACTTTTAAAAAATTAGGACACTGCATTGGTTGTGGGATTCATATCCTTTGGAAATATCCCTTGTCTATACTTTATTTGCTTTGATTTTCAAACGACAATAAAATCAAAGCAAGTGCAAAACATATAGGTGCTACCAAACAAATAAAAAGAAATATCCTTTCTCAATTAGTTATTAGTTCTTTAAAATTATCTCCAAGATATGATATCAAAATTAAGAAATCAATTGATAATAAATGAAAAGATTGTTCGACATCAAATATGAATTTATTTTTATTATTATTTAAATATTTTTAAATTATGAACTTATCCTGTAATATGAATAACAAAATAATGCGTGAAAAGGCTAATGAATGGAAGTAGCAACGTTACTCTTGTAGATAGATATTTAATTTAAAATTGATTGATGATAATAAAAAAATTATTATATTTATAAATTTAAGATATTTTTGATTTAAGTAGTCAATTTTTTTAATCAGGACTTATGGGATAGTAAAGTTTAAACAATGACATTAACAAAGTACTTTTGTTTTTTTATCAAGATTAACAAAGTGCTTTGAAACACTTGTTGCTTTCTTACATCAACTTAATCATATGATGATGTTAACTTGATTTTGTTAGCACTAGTTGTATTTTTTTGGACAGGATGAGGAGAAGAACATTGACGGGATTGATGATTTTGCATGGCCAATGACGCGTTGCCATTGGGGTGCACAAAACCGGTATCCTGTCCCTGCTTCTGTCTTTCCGAGTTTCTTCTTTTAGCTTTACGATTCTCTGCTTTCATCAACTCAAAAGCACTATCTCCGTGCCGCTAAAATTCGTTCGTCTTCACATCACTTGGTTCGTCGAAACAGACATATCGAAACCAGTTATCTAACATCATCCCAATCAACGGTCAAGGATTAGAATCACAATTTTAGGAGGTAAGGAAGAGGCACACCTCATAGCCCTCACCCTCCCCGATTCACTTTTTCGAGATACCCTTCGACCTCCGAACTTCTCGTAAACGTTCTTCCATTTTCCTCTCCAGAATCGAAGAATACGGGTAAATTACAAAATTACAAAAAAGGGGTTCATTGATTTGGTCTTTGCCAATCTGGGTCGGCCCCAAAATTCCAAATTTGTCCAAGTTGAGCATGAACTGGCTTGGCAGTGACTAAGGAGCTAGGGTTTGAATTCTCTGTTCTAGGTTTTTTTATAAAGTTTATAATCAATGGAGGCTTATAAGACATGGGTTAGGAGGAACAGAGACTACGTGCACTCCTTGGAGTCTCTTGCCAACGTAAGCCTTTAGTGTTTTCTACCTTACCATACAATTACATAAAGTCATTTTTTTTTTAATTCCGGAAGTGTATATTGATAGCTATTAGACGATTCTTGAATCTTGATCAAGAACACTTATAATCTTGGAGAACGATTGGTTTGAATGTTAATGTGCATTAAATGTATTGTTAATGCTTGTGCTTCAAATATTAGGGCTATAATCTGTCTTTCTCAAAAGTTTATTTCTTGTTTGATAGTTTAAACTCAAAGTAGTTGACTTCTAGGTTTCACTTATGCTGGTCTGGATTCTGGTTACTGCCTCTTCCATCTTTCCCTTGAAAAGAATGAAGTGAAAAATGGAAGATATTGTATTTGCAATGTAAATTGAAATGGAAAAATGAAAAAATGAGATATTTGCTCACAAAACTCATTCAATTGGAAACGCAAAATGAAAGGTGTTGGATTAGGAAGAGTACTGATTATCTGCAATGTTGGAGCCTTCATTAGCTGGTAGATTTCCATATTTGTTACCTTTGTGGATTGGTATATCTCTGACGTTCCTTGTATATATGATCCATCATTATTTGGATTATTTGGTTTTGTATTCAACAAGTGAGCTTGGAAATGTAGATTTTGTGAATGACTTTTTAATGTGCTTAGAAATTTGAGAATTCCTATCTTATGCTGTTATTTAAAACTGCTGTCCAGGGATTGACGTGGTTTCTTCCTGAACGGTTCTCCACTTCAGAGATAGGGCCAGAAGCAGGTTTTGTGAAATTTTGGTAACATTGGCTACTTCTTGATAGCTTAGAAATTGATAAGAGTCATCTAGTTGGTTGCTGCTCCCCTCCCTCCCCTCTCTTCTCCTTGTATATCAAAATTTCCCCTCTTTTAAGCTATACTGTCTTTTTCATTGACTGCTGACAGTTTTTCCCTATTAAATAACCTTATGCAGTAACTGCAATTTTGGGAATAATCACTGCTATCAATGAGCATATAATCGATACAGCCCCTAATGGGAGGCAAACTGGCTCTGCTGATCCTTCATCATTCCCTTATGGGTTGTGCATATCTGCTTTAAAGGACTTGGAAACTTTGGTTGAAGTTGTTGCAGAGCAGTACTATGGTGATAAGAAATGGAATTTTATTGCTGTTACGGAAGCTACCAAGTAAGAAACATTTGTCATCTATGCTTTTCTTGCTAATATACTGGCATTATGTCTTTGCCTAATAACTTGGTATCTGATGTACATTAGGGTGATGGTTAGATTAGCTTTGTTCCGGAACAGTGGATATAAAATGCTTCTGCATGGAGGAGAGATACCAAATGTTGAAAAAGATTCTGACGATACAAGTTCACAACAGAGAATTGGGGGTTTCCTGAAGCCTGGAGGCCATCATGGACCTGGTTGGTTCCAAAATAATCATGGGCAAAACCCTTGGAATCTTGAAGGAAGGGCACTGTCTGCTTTGAGCAGATTTGGAGAGAGTGCTAGGATGATTTCTGACCCTGTATGGATGCAAAGAATTCAACAACAGCATGCAATTATGGAGCCTCCAAGTGATTATTTCTTAAAACTTTCATGATTGGGTGCTAATTTCAGTGAAATGATAGGAAAATCTGTTAATTAATTGCAATATTTCCTTTTACAGCTCCAATGATTAAAAGGCCTACGCTCTCCGTGATTTTGTCAGAGAAGGGTGTTAATGGGGCTTTATTTATTCTGGGGGAGGTCCTTTTTATTACAAGACCCCTTATATATGTTTTGTTCATTAGAAGATATGGAGTTAGGTCATGGGTTCCTTGGTTTCTTTCTCTGGGTGTGGACTTTATTGGAATTGGCTTTCTAT